TGTTACATCCACCACAACAAAGTAGCATAAAAAACAATAATAAAATTTACTTAACACTTCTAAAAATCAATACCTACATCATCAGAAAGGGTTTTCATTGAGAACAGGTACAGGCGCTTACAGACAAAATTTCAAATCTGTTTATTAAAATCTTAAACTCCCCAAGTGTGACCAAATTGGAAAGCTTTAGGTCCTGCTGAAGCTTGTTCCAGGTGTAGGGGCCAGAAAATGAGAAAGCTTTTTTGCCAAGCTCAGTGAAGGAACACTGAACGTAATAAAGTCCTGAGAAGGAAGGCTGTGGTGGTGGTTTTTGCATGAAAAATAATAACATGTTAAGTATGATGGAACCAGTTGAAGGATGGATTTATAAATGAAAGTGTACCAGTGTAAGAATCTGTGAGTATGTAGAGAGGGCCATTTAACTAAAGAATATAAGGTACAATGGTGAGTGAGGGCTTTGCTACCTGTGRTAAATCTAAGTGCTCCATGATAGACAGCGTCCAGCAGACGTAATGAGCTGGCTTTCATATACACTATATTTCCATAATCTAAAATATTCATAAAAGTGGCAGAAACAAGATCTTTTCTAGCATTTTTTGAGGAACAACTCGTTTCGAAAAAAGAAGCCTAGTTTTAACTTAACTTTTTATAAGCAGGCTTTCAATGTGAGGCTTAAAGGTTAAGTTTTCATCCAAGGTGATGCCAAGATATTTATAAGATGTTACAAAGTCTATGGGCACACTCTGTCTGGTAGTAATAGAAGGAAGAAACGCAGGCACCTTCTTCTTGTTAGAAAATAGCATGATCTTAGTCTTACTTGCATTCAATAACAGTCTAAGTTGTAATAGTTGAGACTGAAAACTGTCGAAAGAGGACTGCAAGTGCTCAAAAACAAGGGCAACTGATTTTGCACGACAATAAATTACTGAATCATCAGCATAAAAATGCACAGCTGCATTTGTAAGACCATGGCCCAAATCGTTAATGATGGTAAACAGTATAGGTCCTAAAATGGACCCTTGTGGAACCCCTCTAGAAATCTCCATAAAACTTGAGGTTTGACAGCCATATTGAACACACTGTTTACAACCAGTCAGCTAATTTAGAAACCAACCCATGGCCTGTTTAGTAAACCCTGTGTCCACATGTATTTCCCAAAACATTGAACTAATACATTAAGAGCTAGGGAAGAATTTCTCACACTTGTTGAAAACATCTTAAAATTATCTAAAATGTTTTTTTGTGTGTGTTTTTATAAACAGCCATAATAGAAATGGATGCCAAACGTGCGCCTCAGGATAAGCTTGCTTGTGTGTCCAAATGCAGTCAGCACATCTTTGAAGCTCTCTCAGTCCTCAACGATGAGCCTGCTAATGCCGATGCCTTCCTGTCAAGCCTGGTTTATGTGGTGCTGAAGGCCAATCCACCTCGTCTTCACTCCAACATGCAGTACATGATTCGTTTTGGGCTGCCCCACAGTCTGATGGCTGGAGAGAGCGGCTACTACTTCACAAACTTAGTGAGTTGTGATTACGAAGCGTCTCCCATTCATCAGACTTCGCAGAGTTGTGAGAATGTAAGTAACTCATTCCTGTGACTTTGCTCCCTTCCTGCAGTCTTGTGCTGTGGCCTTTATTGACAAGCTTAACGGACCAGCACTGAGCCTCAGTCCAGAAGAGTTTGAGGGCTACATGCGAGGCCAACGCGCTCCTGCTGCGCTGACCAAGAGGCAGCAGGTGGTCGGTGAAACCCAGCACCTGTTGGAGGAACTGCAAGGCAGGCAAGAGAAGCTGCACCAAGGAGTGGACGCTCTCAACGTCGAGTTACAAAAGTGGGTTCAAGCAGTTAATTCACAGCTGGACGAAGCAACAACCCAGTTCGATGAAGTGCAGAAAGACATAACGGCACAAAGTGAGGAGCCGTCATTAGCTCAGGATGAATCCCAGTGAGGGGATGATGGTCTGATGGTCAACATGTAGGTCCAAATGATACAGACTGTTAGCTTTGTTATCAGAATCTGCTAATGTGGTACTTAATGCTGATGGTTAACTTATGTAGGCTGCAGGAAAAATAAGATTTGTGTTCCAGTGACATTTTTGCACAAGTTTCAGCCCCAGACAAAATGTGATTAAAATTCCAAATGAGGATTTAGGAAAACCTCCTGAGGAAAACATTTTTTGAAGGTCATATGAAGTATTTTAAAAATCTTTTATTTAAAATATTTTTCCACTTCTTGTGTACTTCGAATCAAAGGCTATTAACACATTCCAGTTTATTAACAGTCGTGATTAAATTAATTAATGTTAAGCACTCAGGGAACCCGGCACTTTGCCATATCTCTAACACTTTGAAGGTGTTATATTTTTCCTAATGGTATTAACCATCGTGCCAATATGGGGACTGCTGTGAAATTTAAAAAAAAGGTGAAAATGTATTGTAGCCATTTTTAACCACTACAGGTTCTGGGGTGGGGGTGTGGATATGAAAAACGTGTTTTACCTTAAAAGTGTTAGTGCAATACAATTTGTAAAACGTTTTCATCAGCGAGTATAATAAAATGTTTACTACATTAAAAGGTTAATGAAGAAAATTAAACTTATATTTTATTCAATGATTGTACCTAATAATATAATAAAGCTGACTTATAATTTAAATTGATGTGTTTTTTTTAACCTGGTCTTAATTTTTTAAAGAGACTACACAAACCTCTTTGTGAATTTCTGTTATAAAAAAAGCTATTTTAGTGATTTTATTTGAGCAAATAGCTTGTAAGGTTACTGACATGCTTGCTGTTTCTGATTGCGTAATGGAAAAGAGAAGTTTAATAGGTCAGAAACACAAAAGTGCTAATTTTTAACTCTTGTTAGTGAAACTTCAGTAAATCTATAAGCTGAAATGCTTCTGTACAGATGTAACATTACACCTAAGTTACTACACAAAAAATCTTATTTTTAAATGAATCAGGAGCTATTAAAGCTCTCCATGATAAAACACGTGGTGGTTATAGTTGAAACAGGAAACAGACAGGATTCCATGCAACCTTCAGGTGAAAATGAAGACCCCAGACCCAAACCAGTGGTTATTCCGTATGTTGCGGGTGTTTCGGAGAAACTGAGACGTTTATTTTCTAAACATCATGTCCCAGTGGCTTTTAAACCCCAAAACATTACGGC